AGATAAGACGGCGCAAGACAAGACAGAGGAGCTTAAAGTCAACACGACATGCAAAAGGAAACCAATGTTATAGGGTTTTGGGGAAAGGAGTTCTGTGATCTGACGTGGATTTTAAAGAAACATTGCGAGCAGCTGTATTCTGAGGTGAGGTGAGGTGAAATTAGGTTTTACGTCGTACTTGAGAATATTTCGCTCATATGACGACGTGCATGCGTGTGTATGTGTATGTGCGGCTGCTTGTACTAGCCCAGACTTAAGCTGGTTTTATAGTGCTAGCTCACTGAGATACTATGCCGCAGTTAAGCATGAATACCCCACTCAGACACATTATACTGACTCCGAGCCGACCAGTCCTTGTTGTACCCATTAATGCCGAGCGCCAGACAGAGACCAACAAGTACCATATGTTAACGTCTTTTGGTATGACGCGACCGGGGATCGAACCCGCGACCTTCCGCTCTCCGGACGGACGCTCTAACCACTACACCACGGAGGCGGTCTAGCTGTATTCTGAACCTTCTGTAGTTTGTAAAGCTTTGTTGAGTCCATTACGGTAATTTACCTGACATATGACGAGGACCTGAGCACACTCTGTGGTAATGTACTTTCGGATGTTTCCGATCGTGCCCACATGAAAGTAACATGTTTTACAAATTCTTTAAGTCTGTCCACTTGAGCTTCCATGCAGCGATCGGAATCAACCCGGTACCCAGATCCAGTGTAGAAACAATATAGCTTGGAGAGAACCGATATTGACCTTTCTGCCTAGAAGTAGGATTTCTGTTTCGTCATCATTGAGTTTTAGGCCAGTAACCTTGGGTACAATTCTCAATTCACTTAAAGGTGGACTGTGCGGATTTTGACTTATAAGCGTTTACCCGTCGATTATCGACAAAATAGTAATAAGAGTGGAATTTGTAATTGAGAAAAGTTGACTCGCGTAGAGGAGGAAGAGTAGAGGTCCTAGAACAGAGCCTTTGGGCACACCACAAGACAGCACTGCCTGACGTCTGTCGGTCAAGTATGATGAGAACCCTGATAATGCAGTACCACTGATTCCAACCTGGTGTTCTACTGTGTGAAGAAGCTCCTCACGGTCCACAAATGCAGTCTCAATATACTGTTTTCTAGGGGCCTTCACCTGCATCGGAGGGCTAAATATAATATCCCAAAAATATGGTTCCTTAGAGACCGTTCATAATTTATGGCGGCCGGGGAAGAGGAGAAAGAATGATGATTTTTATGGAGAATCATGTACAATGTGACTGCCCCCTAAATTTTATGCACATAGTAAGTGACAACCCCCTTCTGCATGCCATGTACAAAATCAATTTCCCCTTCCCTTCCTATATTTTGTGAGCATAGTTTTTTAAATAGTATTACGTTCAACATTGATGACCCCCCACCTCCCCAGAACAAAATGGGTGACCCCCTTAAAATCATCATTTTCCTCTTTCTCCTCCTCCTTCCCCAAAAACCCACCCCCACCCCCAACACACACACACACACACACACACACATTTTGAACGGTCCCTAAGGAACCATATTTTGGGGATATTATATTTAGCCCTCCGATGCAGGTGAAGGTCCCTAGAAAACAGTATATTGAGACTGCATTGTGGGCCGTGAGGAGCTTCTTCACACAGTAGAACACCAGGTTGGAATCAGTAATATTTGCAACATACACAATAGCGTATTATATACACAAGCACAAGAATGTATTCTTTGACACGTGTCTGCAAAGATATCACTATTTATCTTTCCTAAAATGCCAAGTCTATGTCATTTGTTTCCAAGTAGCATACTGTCAATCGTCGACAGGTTTAACTCTTCACAATGTTTTCATTTTTGTATTGTATAAATTGTTTTCGTCACGATATGGCTGACATATTGCCGATGTGACGTTAAATATGAACTCACTCACTCACTCAAAGTAGCAAATATTATACTTTCAGTCATATTTGTGGTATGATTAGTATGTTATAGTTGAACATTGAAAGTAAGAGTTATTTTGTAACTGATCTTTAAAATAGACATAATTATCAGTTAATACTCTTTCCTTGATTATGACAGGACTATCAACGCGCACATGTAGCGAGATGATTCACACAAGCGCTGAAACTGCTGAAATAACTTTTGGGGGGAGACACATTTCACAACAGCCAAATATATGTGCAAAAACCTCAAGGAACGTGTATCACGTATAATTAGACGATTAGATACCGGGTGCTCGTGAACCAATACACATACATAACTAATTTGGGTTATTATTGAGTATAACAACACAAGTATTTGAAACAGCAAGGCGTTTATGTACAAACATCACTGTATATAATGTCCCCATCTACAATAACAGAAACAGTATTACTTCTTAAATCTGTTGATGAAAGCATGATGTCCACGGATGTCCGCTGACAGAAAGTTCAGGTTACAACTTCACAGTTACATTAGAGAGATGCTATACTCGGCGTCATTAATGAAGGGTCAAACTATTGGTTACACTATTTCTCAAACGTTGTAAAATCTTTGTTTTTGTTTGAAACATATACAGCGAATGTGTTACAAACTACTTTGTTAACATTATGGGAAAACACATCAGGTCGTTGAAATGTCATTATTACGTTCGTTAATATCTGATACGTTCTGTTACAAATGGCACATATTCTATTCAAATTGTCAATATGGAAATCCACCTACCACTTAATGTCAACGATTTGCACATGCAAGTCACTCTGTCCATGGAAAGTGGAGGACAATAAACATGCATTGATGCTTTTTCACTTTCGTTCACTGTTCAAGTACCTGTTGAACAGCTTAAAATGAGACGTTTTTTGACACTTGCCGAAAAGGGTCAGGCAATGGAGCTTTTGGAATCTGGTCAAACTCAGCAGCCAGTTGCTGTCCGCTTTAATGTGAGTCAGAGTGCTATTGGTAGACTGTGGCAGAGATTTCAAGCCAATGGGTCCGTGAAATATGCACGTCGACCAGGTCGCAACAGTCCGAGATGATTGGCACATGATTAACACTGTGTTACGCATCAGATTCCTTAACACAGCAGATCTTCAGACAGAACACGTCAACGTTAACAATGTAAGGATATCCAGGAGCACCGTTCGTCGACGTTTAAGGGCAGCCTGACTCCGCTGTTAGCAACCTGCAGTTCGTCCACCACTAACACCATATCACAGGCAGATGCGTTTGTGATGGAGTAGACATCATGGCCGCTGGAATCAACGTCAATGGTCCCGTGTGCTCTTCACAGATGAAAGCAGATTCAATTTATCCTTCCATGATGGTCGGGAAAGGATTTATCGTCGTAATGGAGAGCGAATGACAGATGCAACTGTCGCCACGCATAACCGATTTGGCGGGGGGTCGATCATGGTTTAGGCAGGGATATCTCCTACTGGATGTACTCCACTGCACGAGATTCTGGCTCATATAGCAATACCATTCCTGCAAACTATGCATGGATTTTATGGTCGACCCTCTTTACTGCAAGAGGGCCAGGATTGTCACAGAATTCCTTAGGCATCAGGGTGTAGAGCGGATGGAGTGGCCAGCATGTTCTCGCCAGACCGCAACCCAATTCAGTATGCGTGGGATGTACTCGGTCGACGTGAGTACACACGTCACCCAGCGCCAGTGGATCCCCCAGGACTCCGCAGAGCTCAGTCTAGTGGAGGAAAGGAATGCGATTCCGCAAGCTTTCTTTATGAACTTGATAAGGAGCACCTGTGCACCTGTGTCTTGGACGCGCGAGGAGGGTACACAAGATATTGAATGTCCGAGTGCTTCATGTTTGTCATTTTCGTTTTGGGGGGTTGGTCTATACACCTGATGTCTGATAGTACTGTTTGAATTTTATGTCTGTAGGCTATGTCACGATGTGTCACGTTTGTCAACATATTAAACATTATTATGACACTCTTAGTTTTATTATTTCTGAGAAACCTTTCTTTACACCCGTGAAGGTCCGGGTTAGAATGAGCTTTCAGTAACCCATGCCTGTCGTAAGAGGCGACTAACGGGATCGGGTGGTCAGGCTTGCTGGCTTGGTTGACACATGTCATCGGTTCCCAAATACGCAGGTCGATGCTCATGCTGTTGATCACTGGAATGTCTGGTCCAGACCCGATTATTTACAGACCGCCGCCATATAGCTGTAATATTGCTGAGTGCGGCGTAAAACGAAACTCACTCTCTCACTCATTACATATAAATATGCTATATATCATTTGACCCCTATTAATGACGCCTCGTATAGATTTACAATAATGGCCAATATGAGATTAACAATATACTGCAACAAAACACTGTAGTTAGCCGACACCGAATCGCATGGTAAATACGCAACTCGAAAACGAGGCTCTCGTAATGGCCGTATTGACACATACATGATCGGAGGATTCCAACAATGGTACGTATCAAGGCCCAATTAAGGACGTTAACGGGCACATAATCAATCTACAGAATCCTGACTTGCCTAAGAACATTTACATATACACAACTAGTAATCTGTTCTTAGGTTTTACAGGGAAATGTCGTACACTGGACATGTGCTGAAAACAACTTGCTGTGAGTGCAAGTGAGAGAAAAAACATTGTCTGTCAAGACACTGACAAAATAATTTGTGTTAAGTTTGAAACCATCCGCAAAACTGAAATGTAATTTTTGTGTTGTTGGTGTTGTGCTGCATTTATAACAAGAGTCTTAATATATAGTATCGAAAGGAGTTGAGGCACGAGGTTGTGTCATATTGCAATAATCAATCTCCCATGGCAAGACGGTCCTACAGAGGCACTGGCTGGTTTCAATACCATACATACCTCATGGTAAGATCAATGTAACTGGACCAGGTGTTCCATGTAGTTTATGATAACTACAATGTGTTTTGATCAAACAGTTTAGGGCTATCATTTGATGTGAGTGGAACCCTGTTTGTGTATCTCATGTCCAAATGTATTCTGAATAATGTAACAACTGCAAAAATAACGCGTTTTAACCCATACGCGATTACTTGGTTATGTTGGGTTACATTGCATTCAGGAGAGGAGAAAGCTTCTATATATTCAGCCAAATGTCGGATCGACGAGATACCCTCCTACGGACAGTGCGACAAAGAAGCAGAGTGTTGTCACAACTACAAACACGACGTACAGTTTGAACAGAAAGCTGTCCAGCATCATTGCCACATCACGCCAAGTGTACCCGTCTGAACAATTCTTGTCGTCTGCCTTCGAGTCTTCCCACGCCGCCTGTGGTGTGTCCACCGGAACAATCTTCTGTTGGCTGGTACTTTCTACGGGGCTTTACGCCACTGCTGCCTTTGGACTGTCTTTGAAGACATCGTACAAATCTCTTTAGCATAGGTGGATAGGTCGAACATCTTTCTGGTGGTAGATGTAGAGGTTTATGACGGCCAGGATCACGGATGTGCACCCAACGAAAAGGATCAAGGCCAAATAGATACCTGCAAGAACAAGGTGTGTACAGTTAGACCTGGGCTTTGCAATGTGAGGATATGAACATAAAGCATATCCACCGTGCATCAGTTTTAAGTATTCTTTCGCTTTTCTCTACACTGTGTTTACTATTGTATCTGTTAAATGAACATTCTCAAGGCTTGTGCTGAATTGTATTGTGTATTGTGTCAAATAATTGTTAATTCTACGAAGCTTCTTTGCTGAAGATTCTGGTAAGATCGTTTTGTACATGAGAAAACTTCCGAATTGCATTTCTTACATGACTAACTCTGATGCCATTTGTAACGATATGTTGCTTCCGAATGTATATTAATTGGTCATTTCATCGGAACAATTTTGCAGAAACGGAAAACTCTGAAATGACAGTTTGTTTATCTTAATTTAATTATGACCAAGGTAAGCACGAACCCTTGACGTTGTCGAAGACACTGATTAGAAATCTGAAAATATCTCTGTTTCAGGAAGCAGGTATTGTCGCCGAGGAACAGTATTCCACCAAGTACATGCCACCCACAGCTCGACCAGGACAAACCCACCGTGGGAAATATTACATAGAACTGGCAGTATTCCACCAAGTACATGCCACCCACAGCTCGACCAGGACAAACCCACCGTGGGAAGTATTACATAGAACTGGCAGTATTCCACCAAGTACATGCCACCCACAGCTCGACCAGGACAAACCCACCGTGGGAAGTATTACATAGAACTGGCAGTATTCCACCAAGTACATGCCACCCACAGCTCGACCAGGACAAACCCACCGTGGGAAGTATTACATAGAACTGGCAGTATTCCACCAAGTACATGCCACCCACAGCTCGACCAGGACAAACCCACCGTGGGAAGTATTACATAGAACTGGCAGTATTCCACCAAGTACATGCCACCCACAGCTCGACCAGGACAAACCCACCGTGGGAAGTATTACATAGAACTGGCAGTATTCCACCAAGTGCATGTACATGCCACCCACAGCTCGACCAGGACAAACCCACCTTGGGAAGTATTGCATAGAACTGGCAGTATTCCACCAAGTACATGCCACCCACAGCAGCTGCGACAACACGACACAAAGCTCGACCAGACCAAACCCACCGTGGGAAATATTACATAGAACTAGGGCGAATTGTTACAGAAAAATGTTGGCGTTTTTCTTGTGGACATATCCCTTATTGTGATTGAAATACATCCATATCGCATTCTGTTTGCTAACTGAGATGTACATTAATTCGAAAATTGCTTGTTATTGTTTTATGCATCAGTATATATCTAAACCTCACAAAAGACGCATGGAAGCACCCGAACATGCAAATACATCCACACTGTCCCAAACCTCTCGACCGGGAACCAGTGTTTGCCCAGGGAATTACTCTTGACGCTCACAATCAAACTCAACAATCGACTTTATTGTTTAGACCTAACGTCCATTCTGTGAATGATGGTTTTATTGAGAAAGCAATTTCATGTCTTCGGGGGTATCTAATGCCTAACTGTGTCCGTGTTCATCAGGCAGTTGAGACAGTGTTGACACAAGCCGCACCTCCGTTGCAACATACATGTCAGCAAACACATTTTTAATTACTTGTCGAATCAAACTAAGAGAACCAGTCATAAACTCATTACCGTACAGCTGCTGACTATGTTTGTTCCAAGTAAACGTTGACTTAGTGTAAGAGCTGCTCCAAAGCTGTTTCAGTTAATGACTGCCATCACAGTATATCGGTGTGTCAGCTCTTAAATACATTCGTGAGATAAATGAAGACCTCTGCTTTTAACGAAAGAAACACACGAATCTGCGGTTGTCCCACCATATCCCACTATAACGTCACTATAGTCCCGTGTAGTAACCTCAGTAGGGATGATCTCAGTATTAACCCGACGTAGTCGTCACATACAACAGGACTGCAAACACCCCATCCGCTGATACGAAATCGATATTAACTACTTTGTTTATATGAATTATAACACCTACACGTAATGGACAACTTGTCTGTTTTGTCCAAACGCATACCGGTAGCATACAGCATGGGACAACAAGGCTAAAACAAAGTTAGGATTAAGATCGTCCAAGCCCTAGACGTGCACTTTTTTGCAAGGTTTGAAACTTATGATCATTGTTTACCTATTCTGAGGTCATGGGCTTCACCAGCTTGACAAGACGTAAAGTAGCATCTAACTACACATACAGTTGTTAGTGTCACTACTCCATTACCTGTGTCGGACGTATAGAACAGATCAAGAAGCAAGTTCTGCAATATAATTAATCTCCGATCTGTTACATATCATTCTTATATGTTGGGCTCAAAGCATACATGAAATACAGTTGTATCCAATCAGGATATGAAACTCCCAAATATTTCAGCCAGACCACAGGGCTGGTTAGATGTAAAACTCGCCAGCCCAGAACAAAACTTACCTGCCCACAAAAAATACTAAGTTACTTAGTATAATTAAATTTTTTTAAACTTGTAAAATATTGAAAAAACTAATGCCAATGCAAAAAAAAGAAGAAGAAACTGTCTATTTCAGATTTGTGTGTGAATAAATAATTATTTATTATCCAAAAATATGAGGAATATCTTCATATACATGTCTAAAATTTTAACCCGACCGTCGGACAGGTGAATTTGAGAATCTGGCAGTCCGTGTTGATAATAACCCGTCGCGGGCGGTCGGGCAGGCAGTTATTTCGAACGCTGACCCAATATCGCTTTGGGCTAGACCCGTGAAGATCCAGGTTAGAATTGGTCATCTGTAACCCATGCTTGTCGTAAGAAGCGACTAACGGGATCGAGCGGTCAGGCTCACCGGCTTCATTGACATATGTCATCGTATCCCAATTGCGTAGATCGATGTTCATGCTGTTGATCACTGGATTGTCTGGTATAGACTCTATTATTTACAGAACGCCACCATATAGCTGGAATATTGCTGAGTGCGGCGTCAAACAACATACAAACAAAACGACCATATCCAATAAATGCCACAACCAAGATATGTCAACCACGATCTCAGGGCTAGATTCGCACATGTTTAATATAAGTCTTGGGATGGCCACATACAATCAGTATGTTAAGCCCTATATGACATCCGGCAGGTTCTTCTGTGTTGACAAAGTGAGCAAAACTTCAAACATAAATGACACGGAGATTGTAATATTTTAGCCCAAAGTGTTGGTTGGTTGTTTAACGGCGCATTGAACAATATCCCAGCTATATTGTGGTGTGTAAATAATCGAGTCTGGACCAGACAATCCAATGATCAACAGCATGAACATCAATCTACGCAATTGAGATACGATGATATGTGTCAATCAAACCTGACCAGCACTGATATTGTAATGGTGACGTTATTGCATGTGTCCAAGAAGCAGAACCTACCCAGTACCGAGATCCTGATGGAGGTGGGTGGGATGTTGCCGGCAACGATGGTCATGAGCACAGCGTAAGACAGCAGCACGGTGAGGGAGTAGCTCACCTTCTCACCAGACTCGAAGGGCAGGATGAAGACAATGGAGCTGAGCGCGGAGGTGAGACCAATGGGAAACATGATGTTGATGACGTAGTAGAAGGGGCGGCGGTGGACATGGAAGATGAACTGCAGCTCTGAAAAGGTCTCCTCCTCCTCCACCAGCTCCGACCGGATGAGAGTTGTTTTCAGGAGAGACCACTCGCCGTTGAGCACGTAATCCTGGACCCACGTAAGTCGACACAAGGTTCACAACATATAACTATGCATGAAAGATGTATAACTAATCCTATCAATTCATACTGTTTTATCGAGTGGTCTGAGAAACATGGACGTACACAGAAACATGTTGGAGGTTGACCTTTTTGATGGAACTAGAGTGGTGGCTGAGGTTGACCTACTTTAAGGTTGACAGAACTAGAGAGATGACTGGGACTGACCTACTTTAAGGTTGACAAACTAGAGAGATGACAGGGGCTGACCTACTTTAAGGTTGACAGAACTATAGAGATGACTGGGGTTGGCCTACTTTAAGGTTGACAGAACTAGAGAGATGACGGGTTGACCTACTTTAAGGTTGACAGAACTAGAGCGATGACTGGGGTTGGCCTACTTTAAGTTGACAGAAATAGAGGTTGACATACCTTAAGGTTGACTGACGTGGAGAGATGGGTGAGGTTGACTTCGTTGATGTTGTAAGCCCAGCTAGCAACATTCAGGGCACACTTTTGACCATCAAATGGGTAGTATGTAGTGTCCATTTCACAGTGGACTGAGTGTATACCAGGAGGTTCCCATACCACTTCGCCGTCGTAACGCACCCTCAGCAACAGGGCGTTGTCTTTGATGACGCCAATGTTGCTGATACTGAGGAAAGGAACACTGGAAGGCTTTGAGAGTTATAGTACTCCTCTGCATCTGCGTCATCTACTCTGGATCCTAACTTCTACTACTGACGCTTCAACTACATCTGCATCATCTACTCTACTGGATACACCATGTCTTCTACTGACGCTTCAACTACATCTGCATCATCTACTCTACTGGATACACCATGTCTTCTACTGACGCTTCAACTACATCTGCATCATCTACTCTACTGGATACACCATGTCTTCTACTGACGCTTCAACTACATCTGCATCATCTACTCTACTGGATACACCATGTCTTCTACTGACGCTTCAACTACATCTGCATCATCTACTCTACTGGATACACCATGTCTTCTACTGACGCTTCAACTACATCTGCATCATCTACTCTACTGGATACACCATGTCTTCTACTGACGCTTCAACTACACCTGCATCATCTACTCTACTGGATACACCATGTCTTCTACTGACGCTTCAACTACATCTGCATCATCTACTCTACTGGATACACCATGTCTTCTACTGACGCTTCAACTACATCTGCATCATCTACTCTACTGGATACACCATGTCTTCTACTGACGCTTCAACTACATCTGCATCATCTACTCTACTGAATACACCATGTCTTCTACTGACGCTTCAACTACATCTGCATCATCTACTCTACTGGATACACCATGTCTTCTACTGACGCTTCAACTACATCTGCATCATCTACTCTACTGGATACACCATGTCTTCTACTGACGCTTCAACTACATCTGCATCATCTACTCTACTGGATACACCATGTCTTCTACTGACGCTTCAACTACATCTGCATCATCTACTCTACTGGATACACCATGTCTTCTACTGACGCTTCAACTACATCTGCATCATCTACTCTACTGAATACACCATGTCTTCTACTGACGCTTCAACTACATCTGCATCATCTACTCTACTGAATACACCATGTCTTCTACTGACGCTTCAACTACATCTGCATCATCTTTACTGAATCCTGTCTTCTACTGCATCTACATCCTAAACGTTAATGGATCCTGTCTTCCACTGCATCTACATCCTAAACGTTAATGGACCCTGACTTTTACTACTGATGCTTCTACTACATCTACACCAATCATCTAAAGGATTCATCATGACTACTATTCTATCTAATTCTTCAATTGTTGAAAAAAACGAAGGCAGAGCTTTTTTGTTCAGATGGTTTGAAGCAAGTCTGTGTTGGCAATGATGGAGGCATCAGTGAGTGGTATTGTTATTGCACAGTTTGTATTATGTGTACAAGTTATCTTTCGACCTAAGATACTGTATAACTGAGGAAATATCATAATTACGAGTTGTCGATGATGAGTTCCGGTCTCCACAGAACGTCCTCCGTATCAAACATGTAGCTGAGGTTCCCATAGTTCTCCCTGGTCCAGGCTAGGCGGCGGTCCTCCCATTTCTGGTAAACAAAGATGGCATTACGCAGAGCCCTACCCACTCCTTGAACAACATCAACACTTATATCTACATATGCCTACCATGGTTTCACCGCCTTGATGTTAACTCCAACAACACTTATATCTACATATGCCTACAACACGTCACAATTTAATTCTGGACTCACAAAAGTCCAGAAACTCTCCGCACTGTGGGCATTTCCTAACAAGGGATTTGACCAAATTAAACATGCAGTTTTTATGAATATATACCAAGGATGAAAAAATGAAAAAATATTTTTTCGAAAACTTTCAATTTAAACTCGCTCGCCCTTGGGCCTGCCCATGGGCGAACAGTGGCCCATGGGGAGAATGTTTAATTTCGATCAGAATTCATGTTTTGGAGGTCGTAAATGAATGAGTGTATGTTTATAAACATCATGACACAAATTTCAACTCATTTTGACTTAATTCGACTAACTTAGAGCAATATTACAAAATCTCGCCCATGGGCGAAAAATATGTTGGCCCATGGGCGAGAATAATTACTTTTACTCAAAATACATGTTTTTTCCATGTTTTGGACGTTGTAAATGAATGAGTGTATACTTATGGGTATCATGAAACAAATTCAACTCATTTTGACTTCATTCGCCTAACATAGGGCGATATTTAAAAATCTCGCCCATGGGCGAAAATATGTTGGCCCATGGGCGAGAATGTTTAATTTCGATCAGAAATCATGTTTTGGAGGTCGTAAATGAATGAGTGTATGTTTGTAAGCATCATGAAACAAATTCAACTCATTTTGACTTAATTCGACTAACATAGGGCGATATTAAAAAATCTCGCCCATGGGCGAAAAATATGTTGGCCCATGGGCGAGAATGTTTAATTTCGCTCAAAATTCATGTTTTGGAGGTTGTAAATGAATGAGTGTATGTTTGTAAGCATCATGACATAAATTTAAACCCATTTTGACTTAATTCGACTAACTTAGAGCGATATTAAAAAAGCTCGCCCATGGACGAAAAATATGTTGGCCCATGGGCGAGAATGTTTAATTTCGCTCAAAATTCATGTTTTGGAGGTTGTAAATGAATGAGTGTATGTTTGTAAGCATCATGACATAAATTTAAACCCATTTTGACTTAATTCGACTAACTTAGAGCGATATTAGTGCTCGCCCATGGGCGAAAAATATGTTGGCCCATGGGCGAGAATGTTGAATTTCGATCAGAATTCATGTTTTGGAGGTTGTAAATGAATGAGTGTATGTTTATAAACATCATGACACAAATTTCAACTCATTTTGACTTAATTCGACCAACTTAGAGCCATATTAAAAAATCTCGCCCATGGGCGAAAAATATGTTGGCCCATGGGCGAGAATATTTACTTTAACTCAAAATACATGTTTTTCCTCCAGAACATGAATTTTGAGCGAAATTAAACAGTCTCGCCCGCCTTGATGTTAACTCCAACAACACTTATATCTACATCTGCCTACCATAGTTTCACATCCTTGATGTTACATCCAACAACACTTTTATCTACATCTGCCTACCATAGTTTCACATCCTTGATGTTACATCTAACAACACTTATATCTACATCTGCCTACCATAGTTTCACATCCTTGATGTTACATCCAACAACACTTATATCTACATCTGCCTACCATAGTTTCACATCCTCTGATGTTACATCCAACAACACTTATATCTACATCTGCCTACCATAGTTTCACATCCTTGATGTTAACTCCAACAACACTTATATCTACATCTGCCTACCATAGTTTCACATCCTTGATGTTACATCTAACAACACTTTTATCTACATCTGCCTACCACGTCTACAGTTTCACCTACTTCATCTTCATCTGCTACTGAATGACTCCATCTATCTATATTATGAAGTGTACTTCTGTATATTTCAGTATTCCATATTTAGATGGATCTATCTATCTATCTATCTATATATATATATAAACAAGTGATTTCTGCAGGTGTATAAGCAATACATATATAAAATATGAGTCTAAATATTTCTCCTTTATATCTGCACAAGATCTTTCGCCGTTCAACGGCTCTTCAGGTGTACACGCTAAGTGTCGTCATAGGCGACATACTGTCTACCATAGTTACCAAAGCCGTTGAACGGCGAAGATCTTGTGCAGATATAAAGGAGATTTGGCAAGAAGAAATATCTGGACTTATATATTCTATAAGTCTTCGATCAAATGAAGTACTTAGTCATTTCAAATCACGCCAAAAGATCGGAGTTTTCATGCATATATATTGATAAACATAGGTTGTTCCTGAAAATGTTTTAATTTGCCCACAGATGTTACCCCGAATATACTGGATGCTGAACATGCTGTATGTAGTGGAAACAATGTGTTCTGAAACAGTAACGAAACGCCTCTCCTACTGCATATCAGGCTACAGGATATACATTGTTTCTAGTGACGTTGTCTGGTTTATTTACCAGTTTGTTTGCGTGTATCTACCCAATGCCGACACGGAGTATTGCCCTCTGTGAATTATCGCCGGATACGTTAGGTCATGTGGCAAGGACGAGGGATAAATGCTTCGACGAGGGATATGCTTTAACTGTGGGTGCTGTGGCGTCCAGGTACAAGCGGGGTCACGGGGAGCTGCTGGACCAAGCTTGTGATAGTGGTTCCTGGTGCTGCCACAGGTAGCCATCTACCATTCAAGTAAATCCAATAACACTTCATTAACAATAAGGACTTCGTGGTCAACGAATGACCAGTACCCATTGACAAAAGTGTAGGACTATCGAATATTGCAGTCGTGGTTAGTCTGTCTCACAGTCCCTAACCATATTTTTCCCCTTCAGCCTAGCCCTCCCTGCAATGTTTAAGTCTTAAAAGTCCAGATTTCCCCCAGGTTCTGAATCTCTGGTCTCCCTGGGGCTCCTTTTCAATTTAAATGGGACTATTTGTTACAATCAAAATTATATATATTCAGAGACTAAGCGTTAGTCTACTGTCAGGTTTATCCCTTGGCTGATCTTCCCAGGGGGAACCTATTCCTCTATATGTTCGTATTATCTATATATATATTGTATTATGAGTGTTAATGAGACCAGAAAGGGAATGATTAATATTGTGATAGATTCCACTCAGATTGAGCTTAAGCAGCACACAACGGCCATTGTCTGTTGAATCAAAGACCCATTACTGCCCGGGTATCTGTTATTGACTGATGGTAACAGTATTGATCGATTGTGTCCACGTTCAGTATGTTTGGTTGGTCGTTTGTCAATCACCCCTTTCCTACATGCCACGCGGAATCAACCAGTTTATCTGAACAATAACAATATCGATATCAAAAGGTAATTTCGACGAAGATTGATTTTTGGTGAAGTTTTCATTTACAAACACTAACAATGGTTTGTTTGTTACAAAATAAGCCGTTGTCATTTCCGGAGAGATGTATTTATGGTAGTGGTCTTTGGTTTTAAAACCGCTGTGACTGTTAGTTCCTGATTCGTATAGAATGAGCACTCTTGGTTGTTCGCAGTACATTCAGGTTCCGCGGTAATGACAACACACTCCTCTTTACTTTATTTCAGTTATGGGGGTGGCCTATCTAGCCTTAATATGGCGAAATGCACACGATATTTTCTGACTCTTTAAGAGATTGAAGCAATACATTTCCGCATTATTATATGCAATAAGTTCCCGCGTCATTAATGAAGGGTGAAGCTGTTGGTAACACTCTTTCTTAAAAGTTGTAAAATCTTCGTCTTTGTTTGAAATATACTCAGCAGCATAAGATACGTCAGTACGAATTTAAAATTAGATAGGCACTGTTATCAAATCATTACAGAAATTTGTTAAATAAGCGCATCAAAAACTTTTTGTGTACAATATCCTGACACAACAATGAACAAATCAGCACAATTCCAAGACATTACGTGAGCGTTTGCAGTCCATTCAGACTCTTGACTTCAGTATCTAGTGTGACCACCACGAGTGGCAATAACTGCAGCACAGCGTCTATGCATGGAGTGATGAAGGCCATTGGCACCTGGAACCACACTCTGAGAAAGGCCTGGCGCAATCGGCTTTGTTCGGCCTTGGTATGACACTATTCAGTCTCCTCTGAATTTCATCCCAAAGGTGTTCAATTGGGTTTAAATCAGGACTAAGGGCTGGCCACTGCATAATGTTGACACCGTTCTGCTGTAGGAAGTCCCGTGTAGCTCAGGCAGTATGGGCCCGGGCGTTATCAAGCTGGAAAATGTTGTTCCGGTAACGTGCGAAGTGTGGTATGACGTGGGGTCTGAGAGCTTGGTCGATGTAGCGCACCGCTCTGATGCCGCCTCCTCTCCCTGGACCAAGGTTCTGGACCACCACAGGACCCACTCTCTGGTTCAGGCCTATTCCACCCCATACCATGATGCTTGCACCTTCCCATGAGTCTCTTTCCATAACACATTGGTCTGAGTAACGCTGGCCACGTCGTCGCCATATTCTTGTTTTGCCATCTGCAGCTGATACTCAGTACTGACTCTCATCTGTGAACAGAACAGTTCTCCATTGCCTGTATCGCTAGTTTTGGTGTTGTAGGGCAAACTGTAGACGTTCACGCCGATGACGAGGGGTGAGGATAGGTCCACGGTAAGGTCAACGGCAATGGAGGTTCCCACTGTTAAGACTTCGGCGTACTGTATCAGGACTGATTGGTCTGCCGTGTGTTCCCACTGTCTAGCGTGCTGTTTCGGATGTCTGCATGAAGGCATTCTGTACATGTAGATGGTCCGAACGTTGACCTGGAAGTGATTCGCAACGGCTTTTGTATTGAGGCCATCTTCAAGTCTTCCTAGCGCTTGGGTCCTCTGAGCTGTAGTGAGTCGCGGCATCCTGCTGACGTTGTAATGTGAATGTTTCAACCAGATTGGGGGAAATTTTATAGGGCTGGTCTATGTAAACAGCACGTGCATCATAAGTTCCAAGAAAAACATGGAGAACACCGTACCATCTCTAAGATCAGGTTGCGATTTTAAGACCATTTCCTGGGTTCCATTCTTTAGTTTAGGAAGGAATGTCCTTGCTCAGGTAAAGTTGGAGATGTTGTCAAAAATATACAATCAAAACATTAAATGAGTTAAGAGTTATCCGTTTCTGCGAAGGAAAATTCCAAACTGACGTTTCTTTTGCTGCTTAGTATATATACAACTGAATGTTTTACAAACTTTCTTCATAGTATGGATAAACACACCAGGCCGTTGAAATGTCATCAATACTATACATTATGTTACAAATGGCACATTTTCTATTCAGATTGTCAATATGGAAATCCACCTGTTACTTAATGTCAATTATTTGCACGTGCGAGTCGCTCAATCCATGGAAAGTTGATTAAAATACACATGCATGGATGCTTTTTCATTGCCGTTCACTGTTCAGGTACCTGTTTGAAATCGCAGCTTGAAATGAGACGTTTTTGACACTTGCTGAAAGGGGTCAGGCTATAGGCCTTTTGGAATCTGGTCAAACTCAGCGACGGGTTACTGTCCGTTTTAACGCAGCAGATCTTCAGACAGAACACTTCAATGTTAACAATGTAAGGATATCCAGGAGCACCGTTCGTCGACGTTTAAGGGCAGGCGGACTCCGCTGTAGGCGAACTGCAGTTCGTCCACAACCAACACCACGTCACAGGCAGGCGCGTTTGAGATGGAGTAGACATCATGGACGCTGGAATGGTCTCGTGTGCTCTTCACAAATGAATGCAGATTCAATTTGTCCTTCCATTATGGTCGGTAGAAGATTTATCGTCGCAATGGGGAGCAAATGATAGATGCAACTGTGGCCACGCATAACCGATGGCTTGGGGTCGGTCATGTTTGGGGCTGGGATAACTCCTCCTGGGCGTACTGCACGTGATCGCCGGTAATCCTACCGGACAGCGTTGTCAGGACTAGAGTCTGACTCCTATGGCAGTACCATTCCTGCAAGCTATGCACGGCTTTTATGGTCGACCCTCTTTACTGCATGACGACAACGCTAGGCCTCAGAGGGCCAGGATTGTCACGGAATTCCTTAGACTGCAAGGTGTAGAGCGGATGGAGGGGCCAACATGATCGCCAGACCTCAACCCAATGGAGTATACCTGGGATGAACTCTGTCGACATGTGTACACACGTCTGCCAGCACCAGTGGATCTCTCAGGACACCGCAGAGCTCTAGTAGAGGAATGGAATGCGATTCCACAAGCTTTCTTTATGAACTTGATAAGGAGCATGACAGGGTGCACCTGGGTCTTGGACTATATCATTTGACCCTTTATCAATGACGCCTTGTAGAGATCTACAAGGGTTGAATCATTTTACTTAGTGAGGGGACAGCTATTGAATCACTTTATTCAATGAGGGCACAGCTATTGAATCACTTTATTCAATGAGGGGACAGCTATTGAATCACTTTATTCAATGAGGGGACAGCTATTGAATCACTTTATTCAATGAGGGGACAGCTATTGAATCACTTCATTCAGTGAGGAACAGCTATTGAATCACTTGTTCCTGTGGTCTCAGTTATGTCAAGGATAATCAGCCGGTAAATTATCAAGAGAGTATGTTTGGGTTTTGTTGGCTATTCAAGTGTTTCCCCATCATGATCCAGATCTTTAGGTATCTGTCGTTATATAGAAAATAAACCTTTGAATAACCCTAGAGTGAGTGAGTGAGTTTAGTTTTACGTCGCAGTCAGCAATATTCCAGCTCTATGGCGGCGGTCTGTAAATAGTCTGGACCAGACAATCCAGTGATCAACAGCATGAGCATCGATTTACGCAATTGGGATGACATGTGTCAACCAAGTCAGCGAGCCTGACCACCCGATCCCGTTAGTCGGCTCTTACGACAAGCATGGGTTGCTGTAGACCAATTCTAACCCGGACCTTCAGGGGTTGAATAACCCTAGAGCATCGAGATCGTACGGTTACTGTGTCTGTGCAAAGAACAAAGTCAACGACCTCTGACAGAACAATATACATTTATATATTCGTCACATGATATTAGAGCGTTGCAAAGGCAACAAACCTGTAACTTAGTCAATCAATGTATATGTGTTCACACGAGATCCAAATGTGTACATAAACCAACCTCGCTAAAAGTTACCAGACTACCTCGTGTGTACACTATTACCAAACTAAACACTATCTGTATTTACAAGCACAACCACAGTATCCTCCATTACCCGTGTAAACACCGGTACTGAAGGTGTTGATAAGCGCCTGCCCCTCCCAGCAATCACAGTTGTCAGCTACATACCGCTACAGTGCAGTCAACGCCCCAGATTTGTTGGCGTAGAACATTTATAAATGATGGAGTCACATGCTGAAGGCCGCCCACGATGACCAGCTACCGACGTTTCTTTCAGCAGCCAGACATGCTTGGCTCTGTTTCGTGTAGTGTATTTTTGTTTATCAAATGACATCTTGCTCAAGGAATGCACTTAACGACCAGTATATAAAGTAATGGAGTCTATACTTTGTAAAGGAAGATAACGGGTGCTGTTTATTAAGTAATCGTTGGGAAGACATTACGTCAGTAGCCTACACTAATACTCCTTACCTTAGATCAGACCAGTTTACATTTGATAAGGGCGGTAGGGAAGCCTTGTGGTTAACGCGTTCGCTCGTAACGCCGGTTCGATTCCCCGTATGGGCACAATGTACGAAGTCCATTTCTATTGTCCCCCGCCCTGATATTGCTAGAATATTGCTAAAACTGGAGTAGAACCATACTCACCCGCTACATTTTGCATGCGAGAGCTATTAAACATTTAACACCTCTTCCAAGAAACTTTGTTTCTGAACCCTGCAAAAATCTTTTGAAACATTTGCAACAACTTACAACTGTCAACCACCCGGACGTTGAAAACGTTTGAGTCCTCATGTCCTGCAAGTAAAGTGAAAGAGACATTGTCAAATGCAAACAAAAATGATACTTTATATTTGCTTTTCTCTCTTTCAGCCCGAGATAAAGTGGAAACCTCTGTGTCTATGTTCCCCAAGAACAGTAAAAACATTTAACCCGAACGCACCACTCCTTGCGCATGCGCACCAGCACTTCCCGTGACAGTCATGTGACCGTCACTGTCTCCATTTTAGCCCTACAGGACGGTTGGGAGAAATCTTCCTCTGCCGTCTAATATTATATTATATACATGTATATGCCTGCGGAGCACACAACTAAACAGCAAAGCTTTATTTGTGAAAGTTGTCCAATCACCTCTGTATGCATATGGGTGTTTTTATATATGACCACCTAGGGCAGGAAACAAACCCATTTTGGGAGGAGGATTTGATCAAATTGAGAGGTATACATGATCAATATATCAAATTAAAGCTAAAGACCTATTGAGTAATAATAGACATGATGTGGAAATATTAGCGTGGACACGTTCTGGTAAAACCAGAATTTGGGGCCAAAAACACTAAAAATCATAATTTTGTCAAATATCTTTTTTAATTTTCAAACTATTGACCCCATTCATACAAAGTCACCATCACATGAAGGGTTATCTCTGTACAATTGAAAAATAATAGTGATTCCAATATTTAGACATAAAATTCCCATAGCATGCTTGAAAATTTGGGTAAAAAATATCATATTCGCTGCTCCTCTTTGACAATTTTTTCAAGGTATGATACAGTAGAAGAATAAGAACTCTATCTGTTTTAATTTCATAATTACCTTTTAATCACTCATCACTATCAGTATTACAGGCAAAGATACATTAATATCTCTAAAACAGAACATCTTTAAAGATACTGAATTACAAGTGTTCATGTGTTCAGAACCAACAATCATTCATATTCGATTCATTTGCTGTTCTTTTTGTAAAACAATAGAATGTCTTGTGCTAAAGGTTTTTGGTAATAACAACTTGGAAAAGCAATAAGCTCAAATATGAATATCAAACAATTATACTGACCAAGCATTCCATACTGGACTCGTCCAATTTCAGGTTTAGTTACACATCAGATTAGGTTTGGTTACAAATCAGATCAAAGTTTGTTGCTTTCTTCAGTTTAAAAGTTCTATTTTACAATCTCCACGTTGTACATCAAATAGATTTATGATTATTACACAGGTCATTCGGCATTGTCACTGGTTTCTTCACCAACATCATTTATTGGGTTAGTGCAATTCTGTCCATTCTGTCCTTGCTTGCAAGGACACAGTTCAATATAAGGCAGATTGCTCTGTCTACAAATGCACCACACTGAGGAGCATGGGGACTTGAAGCAGGTGCAAACACGGCAGCCAAGAATTTCCGAAGCAGTTTGATGTTCAAACAATGTGGGGGTGAGCAACACATTCACCCTGGTCCAGCCAAACAATTTACGGTTACCACGCTCTGGTTTACCACAATGAGAACTTGTTCAGATGCTAGTTTGCCACATCACACGCTTAACGTGCTGTCGAATGCTATCTTCGCATGGGGGAAAAGGTTTGGCAAGCTCAATGTCACTTAGCTGACATAGTTGAAGTCTCATGTCATTCAAAGAACGACATGGTTTAAGTTTCATCCTGGCGTCATACAAGGCTCATGCTAGTTTATTGCAGACCTTCACTGCTGCAGCAAGGTTTCCCGAACACAGGACTTGAGCACTTGAAAACAGATCTTTGTCTTTCATCATGGCTTTGTAGACAACATGACAAAATGTTGATGATGTATGCAGCCAGTAAAGGCATGGACATCTAACATGTCAATGCTAGGACAGGAAGTGATCTAAGCAGACTACAGGAAGTACTAGTAGTACCAGTTTCTTGATGATTCATTTTACTGTAGAGTTTCTCTACCAACTATAGATTCGACATAAAAACGTTTTTACAAGAAAATGTCCACATAAATTTCACCACATCGTTTTTTTTCTTAATACTCTGATCACAACCTTCCATTTCATGTATAGATTGTCTATACCTCTCTCGGATATAAAAAACAAATGGTTTTTGAAGGAATATCAGGTTTGTGTCCTGCCCTAACCAGTGTGCTTCACAGCAATTTATGTGAAGCCCAGCGTATACCCACCAGCGTGTTGATGGAGAGTAGGTTGTACCTGACGTTGACGAGAACCTGTTCAGCTGGCCGTATCTTGTGGGAGTAGTTGCTGCTGCCCAGCGTATCTCCCCGCAGCTGGACCTCGTACATGTTGCGATCCTCCCAGGACAGGGTGTTACTGTGGGGGAAGGCCTGGCGAGACAGAGCTGGGTCGGGAAAAGATTCGTAAACACAACGCAGAAGGAGGAAACCAATGAACGACCACAATTCACCTGAGAATATTTATTTATATGCTTATACGAAACGGTTTTAAGGAATTTTATCACGGAAATGAATAACCTGTTCAAATGTGTGATATAGGCTCTACTGCTGAAATCACCCTGCTGTCCAGAGAAGGAGCTACATTTTCAATGTTTCTAACGAGAATGTCGACTCAAAGCGTAACACAAACCAGATCGTGACCGAACATGGCATCGAGCTTATTTCTTGTTCGCAAAAAAATAATACAGAAAGAAAACTCTGTTTGATTAGCATTTAGAAGTAGATGAATAATAAGAAATGAATGATACTTTATGGACAACATAATACAATAAAGAAGTTGTTATCAATAAAAAATCATACTTTTCTCAGAAAGAAAACCAGTTTAAATATCTAAACAGGTAACTGATTAGTTTATGGTTTATGGCAAAGATACGGTACCCCCGAAACAAAATTGAGATTATATTATACCCTTTAAAACAATAGGGAATTCTCGGAAATGGATTGTAATGTTAAAAAGATTGAAGGAGCTATCGATTTTCAGTAACAGTTATATGATGATGGGCGAATGAACACATTACAACCTGTAGTGAAGTATGACAGTACATTTTATGGAAGCCAATGACCTTGAACGATCGGGGTAAGATGGGCAAGTTGTGGTTTTTGGATTAGTAGTGCGGACGGAGCTCATGGCTGGCAATGGCAGTCGTTTGTTGTTGAGAATCTGGAGGTGAACACTGACGATTTGGGGACGGTTATCGTCCAGGGCCTCCTTTCACAAAGCACTAAGGTGATCGTAAGTCACTAAGGTAACCTTAGCTCAATGTTAAAGAATGGGAGATAAGGCTGACCTTAGTAAAGGTTGCTTCGTGAAAGGAGCCCCTGAAAGACAAAACGTCGACCCTCGCGTCTTGGACAGCAAAGGCCATGAGAAGGTTGTCCCGGTGGTACTGTCGAGTGACCTTCCCTTCCGCTATGTTACCCCACACCATAACAGATCCACCGCCAGCCTCAGGCTGACATCGGCTTCACGTGCATTTCGACGTCCATTAAATATACGTAATAATAACAACTAGTAGACCACTTGTTCATATTTTATGGGAAACTTGCGTAAATCATAAAGGGAAACTTGCGCAACGAGCGCATACCATGTATTTAACGAGTACAAAATTCTACATCTGGCTTCTTGAAGAGTTTTTCTTCTTACAGAAGGGAAAGCTATTCAATTTTCTATCATAGTCGTAAAGTATTACGGTGTGTATATCTATGCCCAGTACAATATTACCAACATAATTCATTTCAGATACAAATACATGTACACCCTTGACATTACCATGATTACCTTATTGTCTCAATAGTACCACCATCATGAAGGTAACCATGGCAATGACAGTAGAACTATCTTGTTCATATAAAAAAAACATCACCAGGGCAACCATGGCAATGATAGTATTTCTGTCGTGTTCATGTTATTACCTCCATCACGAGAGTAACCATGGCAATGACAGCATATCTGTCATGTTCACGTTATTACCTCTATCGCCAGGGTAACCATGGTAATGACACCATCTCTGTCATGTTCACGTCATTACATCCATCATGAGGGTAACCAGTAGAACTGTCTTGTTCATATTATAACCGCCAGGCTAACCATGGCAGTGACACCATCTCTGTCATGTTCACGTCATTACATCCATCGTGAGGGTAACCAGTAGAACTGTCTTGTTCATATTACAACCGCCAGGGTAACCATGGCAATGGCACCATCTCTGTCATGCTCACGTTATTACCTCTATCACCAGGGTAATCATGACAATGACAAAAACTCTGTCTTATCCACGTTATGGCGTTCAGTAATAAAAATAATAATAAATAATAGTGCATTTATATAGCGCTATTTCCAAACATAAGGATGCACAAAGCGCACAAACATGGTTTGATATTAAGAGTCAGGGAAAGCTCGGCGGAAGAGGAAAGTTTTTAGTAAGGATTTAAAGGATGACAACATTTGAGAGTCTTTGAGTTCTTGGGGCAGAACTATAATGTGAATGTTTATAGGTATACATCGCCTATTTATACCCGTAGGCTTAGGAATAAGTTTTCAAAGAAAGCAACTGTATACGCTGATTACGATATGGCTTGATAAAGAGGTGACGTATGATTTTAGAGTATTATAACAAGGACATCAGATCAGCTAAAGTGATTTCAAGTAGAACAGGCATCCCTTTGTCCACTGTTTATCGTGTTTTGAAAAATATTGCAAATGGATATGGCATTGAGCACCAGGGAGGCGCAGGTAGGCCCAGAAAATTGACTGTTGGTGACAGGAGGCGGCTTGGTATTCTTGTTTCTAAAAACAAACGAAGGAGTTTAGAAAACTTAAGGCTGGATATGATTGATGGGAAATTGGGGCTGTCTGTAAGGAGACAATTAGAACTGAGCTGCATGCAATGGGTTAGCAGAAAAGTCGAGGAATTCCATCACCGATCATGAAACCTGAACAAAAGGAGCGAAGATTGAACTGGTGCTTACAGCATAGAAATTTTAACTGGGACAATGTGATTTTCTCAGATGAAAGTTCTGTGTGGCTGTTTCCTAATACACTGAAATTCTGGACCAAACAAACTGAAAAACCTTTGTATCAGCGCCCAAAGTACAGTCCGAAATTTAACGTGTGGGGTGGCATATCTGTGTTAGGGACAACGCCCCTCTGTGTAATTGAAGGGAATATGAACAGTGAGCGGTACACAGATATTCTCGAGGGACATTTACTTCCATCTGCTCACGTGTTTTATGGAAAAATTTTGATTTTCCAGCAGGACAACGACCCAGAACATCGTTCAAAGCATTCACAGGCCTGGTTTCGGACCCAAAATATGACATTATTAGATTGGCCAAGCTATAGCCCTGACCTAAATCCAATAGAAAATGTTTGGGGACTTATGAAGGAAAGTGTCAATAAGAAAAATCTGACAAATATTGCTGAAATGAAAGAAGAGGTGGTCCGATATTGGGACAGCATGGACCACGACTTTCTAACTTCTTTGATCAGTAGTATGCCCCGCCGCATTGAAGCCTGCATTGCTGCCCATGGTGACTTGACAAAATACTAACTGTTCACCTGTCTTTGAATCTGGAGATACGTTCTGCTAATATTCACATTTAATACGTGAGTAATGAGTGAATTTTTATAAAAAAATTGCAATCTTAAATTCTCAATAATTTCTGGTTGTACTGTAAATACAGGTTCCACGCGTAATCAGATACTGGAGAAGATTGTACGCTATGCTGGGCTCGTATAGACTCTTCTCTCATTGCGCACCAGTGTTAACTGTGGTCACTTCGGTATATATTTCAGATGGTCTCTACTTTTGATGTGCACTCTTTCAAACTTGTTGAATGTGTGTAGATTTATGCTATTTGCTCATAATGATAATGGATTAATGATATAAATGATGGTAAAATGTAAAATCAAAGACATATATTCATTTGAGATTCAGTAATGATGGCCATAAGTATTTGACACAAAGGTAAATGTCCTTGATGTGTACAGCGTTAGGTTTATCACATGAAGTTGAACAAGTATATATACAGGGCTGTAAATACTTACCAGGAAGTAATATGAATATATAACATATCCCCAGTCTGTCCATCCTCATCCTGAACCTGATGGTCGATGACTTGCGGAGTGTGATGTTACAGTCTCAACTCCAGGAAGCACGTCTACCACTACGACTTCATATCATCTGATATGGCGGTTCCACCCCTGTGTCCCATATAACCTACATTATTGATCAGCGTTAAGAGGATGAATGATGTCAGTTTCACCCGGCTACAGGTATCCGGCATTGATGTACTTTATAGAATTCCCGCCATCAATAGTATGCATCAATAGACAATAACTTGGCAGCAGTGTGGACGTAGCGAGGAGATATGTATCTGTCATGTGTTATTAATCCAACCGAGTATTAAATGTGTTCGTGTTTTCGAGGAGATAATACAAACTGCGCGGTATTTATAATGTTTTTCCAGAAATTTATTACGGGATATTAGGCTTAATTCACAGTAAATAGACCGCTGTCAGACTTTTAATTCTGTTATGGCAATGTAAATCGTTTCATCTAAAACATCGTGTTTACTGAGAGCACACTCAACACGTACATTGCTTCAACATATATACTCGTTAATGTCGTTAGCTGATCGTATTGATACGTTTGGGCGGGTAATGTTGGCACATTACCATTCATCGTGTTGGCGTGTGAACTACCTAATAGTGTTGACACATGGTGCGCAATCGTGTTGGCCGTGTCGATACATTTCTCCGCGTCGGTACATTCGAAAAGTCGTCCTGTTGTTTAATCCTTTCCATTAGTTTCAATACATGGCTGTGTTGGTATCTTCAATACCTCATCCAGTGGTCACTTTCGACCTTGCTTTGACACTCTTCACATTGACCGACAATCGGGCATTCCCTGGGCTATTGTATGACCAGTCAACAGATCCACACAACGTGCTTCTACCAGTCACCCAATATTTTGCTGGTTCGTGTGTATATTTAACATCGTGATCATCTTGTCATCTTGCACTGCTCTTATAGAAATACACATTCTGACAGAAAAGCGTCATACCCTGCTGAATGGGTGATCGTCACTAAACGTGGTGACCATGGGCACAGCTAAATCTCGATTTTCAATGTTTCAGAAGGATTCGTCAAAAGTTAGAGCAACTGTCATCAGAAGTTTACTGAGGAAGCAAAATCGTGAAAAGCTGAACAGTCCTTGGGGCGCTGGGGTAGCCTAGTAGTTTAAAAGTTCGCTCGTCAGCCGTAGGCCCGGAATCGATTCCCAACATAGGTACAATGTGTGAAGCCCATTTCTAGTGTTCTCCGCCGTAATATTGCTACAAGGGCGTAAATCTGAACTCACTCACCACTCCTTATTCCTCAT